ATATATATATATAGATACTCCCACAGAGAAATGTTTTCGGTTCATTAGCAAGTTCAGTCAGTTGCCTCTCTCCCCGTATATATACCCACAAGATATACGTATAAACGCGAGACACAAATTAAAAGTGTCCTCTCCAGGGTTCAAGAATCAGGCTCGTGGTGTTTACAAGAACCATCTTCTTTCGGTGGTAAAAAATATGCATACAGAACAGGGTGCTCTACAGGTCTGTAAAGAGTCCAGACCCCGAATCCCAAATCAGCAAGCCTCACCCCCCCCCCCCCCCCCCCCAAAGCAGAGAAGCACTGCAACAGTACCAAACCGCCCGGCCTTGATCCAAACTCAAGAAACTCTAATCCCAACAGCCTAAACCCACAAAAGTTGCAAGACCCAAACCTGAAGCCCTCAGCCCGAAAACCGCCGCCAGGATCCGGCGCACCCAGCTGTCGAGCACTTCCAAGGGAAGCTCCACGGTCTCCGTGCCAAAGAGCAGGATCCTGGATGGGTTTACGTGTTTAGGGTTCAGGGGTTCTTAAGGGTTGTTTTCTGTGTTTCGTGGGCTGTTTCGAGTTTTAGGATTCGTGGGGTTCTTACAGTGCGATATACAGGATTCTTAAGGCTTATGCGGTCGCTATAGACGTATATACTGGCTTGAGAAAGGTGTTATAGGCTTTCATTTGGCAGTGTTTTGATTTTTTGATGTGGCTTAAGGCTTTAAGTTTTCAGGGTTGAGGGCCTTATTGGTTCAAGGGCGACGATTTGGCGAGAGATGGTGATTCTAGAGACCGCAAAGCGGCGTAATCAAGAAAGTTGAGTTCTATACCCTTCGAGAGTTGTCTTCTGGCTCTGCCATCATCCGCCCACTCCTTCTCCAAGCCCTTCTTAGCCCTTTCAGTAGAAAGCCAAAACACTACACGCTTCCTGGAGGCTAATGCTTGCAGTCTTGAGCCCTGAGCAGCACCCCTCCTTGAGCCCGCGAAGATCCTGAGCCCCCAACGCTTCAAGCATCAGAGCCACAAAAGATGCAGGAGACCCAGGAGAAACTCAGCGCCATCAAGCTGCAGACGATTTCTTTCGATGCCCTGAAGTGCCAGAAGGACTCCAGTCTTGTCAAAAGCCCAGACCCCTAAAACCGAACTCACAAAGCTTCTGCCGGAAATCCGGAGCCCGACCTACATACTAAACCCCCAAAACTCGTAACCATGGCCTTCTCAAGCCATAAAACCCTAAACCCGAGTGCAGCTTGGAGTGTCCTCAAAAGGCTTCTACAGGTCGGGAATCCGGTAGCTCCTAGGCTAAAATGAAAGGAAGGTTTTGGCAAACTTACAGCAGAAGTCAGAAAGTTGGTCTCGGGCTGTGGCACATTCGGGCTGTATATGGTCTTGGCGCTTATGGTCGTCTTCGAAGAATCCCGGCACAAATCATCCTTTGCCCATGCTCGAGCTCTTTTGCAACTTACTGAACCACGCAAAGCACCTTGCAAAGACCCCTTGCACGACGCTGGTTTGGGATCATGGATGCAAATGACCAAAATGGTATGGTTTCAGGGTGGCGCGGGGTTCAGGATTTGAAGAGCCCAGGGGTTCAGGGCTTATGGCTTCGGATCTGGGGTTCGGGTCAAGAGTTTAGAGCTTCAGGGCTGGGGGTCTTTAGGGCTTCGGAAATATTGACTCCTGGAACACATTCAGCCATTTAGTTCCAAAGAATACTTCTTGAAGCCACAAATCCCTAGCCCCGTACCCTAGTCTTCAATCTCTATCAGGTTGCCGGCGTCTGCAGCCCATGTTCCCCCCCCCCCCCAACCCCAAATGCTGGCCCATGTAAAGCCCTGATAGGATCCCTAAAGACCCCCTTCAACTCCACGCCCTGGGCCCTTACCCTGAACACCGAAACTCTGGACCCCCAATCCCAAGCCGTATCCTATGTCCGTAATTAACTTCATCAATCATCCTCAAACCACACGCCGCCAAGCCCTTCAGGACGGGAAGTGGGCCACCATGACCGGCTGCACGCAGATCTCCCGGGAAGGACGCCAGGTCAGCTCTTCTCATCTTTTTGGGGTTTCAGTTTTAGGGCTTGTGCTCGGGAGGGGGGTTTCTTAGAATCAGTGTGTTTTTGTTAAGGTTCTAGTTTGTAGGATCGATAGTAGGGCCCTCACTCGGTAAGATTGTGCTTGGGGTATCGGGGTAGCTTGGGCTTGGGTTTAAGGTTTCGTCACCCGCACTGATTGAACCGAAGACCACACACCGGTAACACTTGGAGTCTTTCTCCGGTTACAGACAACCTCAAAGGGACGCTGCAGCCTTAAAACTTTGGCCCGCTAGGTTACCGCGTTGGGCCCTAACAACTTCCTTCGCCCTACAGATTTCGGTTTCGAGCGCAGGTCGAATCGAAAGCCCGAAGCCTCGCACCCCTAAGGGCTACATCCCGGAGCCACAAGCGAAAAAGCCCTCATGATTTTTTGGGATCCCCAATACATTCCTATCGGCACAGTCTCCCCAAACCCCACTGTGCCGATGTGCAGGTGATCCGTGAGGTCGCCCGGTGTCTCAAGGAGTATCCAGGCGCTTCAACGGGCATAATATGCAGAGGCCGGAAGAATAGTAATACTAAGGCCCTTTACATTAGGCTTCAGGGCTTTCTTGTCTGCAAGCCTGAACGCTGTAAACACTCCCCACCAGTCGTCAGGATCCTAAAGGCACCACAGAAAGGTAGCACAGGTAAGGGTCTAGATAAACACCTCAAGCCTTTATTTATCTAAGAATCCGAAGTGGACAGGTTTGGCCATTCGCGTAGAAGGCCACAGCAACGATCGGAATCCGCAGAGGGCCAAAGTCGTGTCGCAGGTGCCTGTGGGCGTGTTGTGTGTTCTTGCCTTGTTGTTCTTCTCCTTGTTGAGCTAGATTTTGTGAATAGGACCTGAGATTCATGTTTTTTTTCGGATTTATGGTTCGGGTTCGAGGTTCGAGGGTTTAGTGCATTGGCTCGTTTTTCTCGGTTGGTAGTTTTACGGAGATACATTAGCGCACCTTGTTTTGAATGCGGAGTTTCCGAAGAAGGACTTATGGACAGCGATCTTAAACAGTAGGACCCTTATTGCAATGGACCGGCAAAACAAGGATCCCATTAGGTCCCTTCCTTGGCCAGAGCCGGAGAGTTCATTCTCAATGCCACAACTAACTGCATCACCTATAGTCTACTAGAGTATACCCTACCCGACATGTGGGAGGTAAAGGTAGTTGAGGGTCAGGGATACTTCAGGCGGGAGAGGCTGATGGAGGAGTTTCAGGGTCTAGGCTGAAGGGATACATCCAAGAAAGAGAACAACCCCAGATGTCAGGCCCCTTGGTTGGTTTCTTTCTTTCCCCATCGGGGTTATTCTGACAGGGCCGAGATAGGAATAAGAAGCCTGCAAAACCCTTAGCTGTAGACGAGGGCTGCGAGATTCTCTGACAAGGATTGGGAAGCATCATCGGAGCCTCAATCGGACTCAATCGGTTCCAACCGCTACCGACTTATGAAGTATTGGAGGCTGGCAAATTGTATTTTATGTACGAAGCCAAAATCCTTGGAAGACTCTTCCTGAGTGTGATTGCGTGTTAGCACGCCCTTGTTCTAGATTCTTTTATCCGAGAACTATTTCCTTGAGGGCATGCTATCTTGCAAGCTTCTTGCCCCGAACCTGAAACCACTATAGAATCCGTTACAAGTGCCCTTGTCATGGAACCCTTATTCAAGATTTCGGCTTCAAGAATGGCACCACCCCACACGCACCCTAACAAGTGGTCGCAACTCGGCAAGGCACGGGCAGATGCCGTGAAGGCTGCACTGCAGGAGCTCTCTGTACGTGCTACAGAGTTTACAGAGTTTAAAGTTCTTTAGTTACGGTTGTAAAGTTCTTGCACCCAGAAGACATGCCAGTGTCTTAGTCTACCTCTCCAGACCCTGCTCTTAGGGTCTTGAGATTCCTTGTTGGGGTTGGGGGTTGCGGCGTGGACTTGGGCTCAAGGCATTTTATCCACGTGGCAAGAAGCTCTCGCAGAGGAGGCTGGCTGCACAAACTGGATGGTGTCGCATGGCTGGGGTCTGGCCCACTCACTCCGGAAGAAGATGGCACCTGGGACCTCTTCAGTGGATTTCACACATGGGTTTCAGTAAAAATATCTTAGTTTGCTTCACGGAAGCTCTTGCTTGTCGGTGCCGATGTTACTTTCAATTTGACCACGAAAACTACGACGACGATCGCTGCCACAGCTAGTACTGGCACATTACGTCTATAGAAACCGAAAAACAGAAACAAAAAAACTATCTCAAGAAGTCGGCTTAGTCGGCTTCCTAGTCCTACACTCTGAAGGTTCGCATCCTCCCGTCTGTTGACCTGGAGCGGCTCCCCACTGAGTCGGCCTTGACAAACAGTTAAAGTCTGACGATTTGGGATTTGGGGTTCTTTCGGAGATGAGGTCTTCAATTGAAAGCGGTGGTGGTGAAGATTTAGGATTGTGGCGATCGAGTGCAAGTAAGTTTTACATTACGACACGAAAGACACCCAAAGCTTGCTGCCTTGAGAGAGGAACGAGTCTTTTTTATGTTTTTAGGGTTCACGGTTTAGAGCTTCGGGCTCTAGGCTGTTGCAGTTTAGGGTTTGTGTTTTTAATATAACATGAGGTTTAGGGTTTGCAGCGCCTGAGGGGGCTTTCAGTCCCTCAAGATTAGTGGTGCGCCAAAGACCTCGCGCGCCTGGTGGCAAGTGTGAGATGCGCAAGAAGCGCAGTGCAGGGACGGAAAAGGAGTACGTCGACTGCTTTGGGGTAAGTTTGCCTTGAACTGAGCGGAGTCTGCAGCTGGTAAAGCCCATCGCCCCCCAAAATCCATTCTTGGCTTGGTGTTTGATGATAGTGTTCTCTCTACAGCTTAGATACTTCAGGACGAAGACACCCGGACTCGACTTAGGTATGGATTTGGGGTCTAGGGGACTTCCGTTGGCAACCAAAGTGCCCCAAGAAAGCAATAGTTTCAACCATTAGACATTTCCACAGCCGTAAACCGCAAGTCGTTGAACCCTGGAACCTGCATTGCCGTTGAAGGCTCCCAGTGCCCAGTCTCTTCAAACCATCATAGCCAGTCTCGAAGATGAAACAGGTCGACCCAGCAGAGACGTTGCAGGACCTGGGCGGTGCTTCGTTTTGTGGGTCTCGGCGCACATGTTTCCTGAGGTTCCGGTACAAAGCCGTGTAGAAGAAACTGCGCAGCGTCTCATCTGAACTTGACCCGAACCCGGGCTAGGGAGTTTACGCGCTTGGCTATGCTGACGTGGAACTCCGTTCGAGCGGACGATTTTTTCCACTGCATTTGTCTCAAACTCCAGGGACTGCACGATGCAGCTTTTTGCTGCCATGGAGGACGAATGGAACCCCGACCCAAGCTCTTCCAGCTATGCAGCTAGCGAAGAGCTTACACCAGCGTCGGAGCTGGATGCAGAGACGCCGGCATGCTCCACGGACCTAGCCAGGACTCCGGCAAGCAGACGACGGCAGCTGCAAAGCGGCCGAGCCAGGACCAATGAAGCCTCGCGGCTCGGACTTGGAGTTTGCACCCAGGTCGCCTCGCTTAAGACCCGTGGGCCAATTGGTGTCGCCTTGGTCGGTGCAGGAACCTGGAAGCGTGGAGCTGCCGAGCACGAGAAACCTGGCAGCGTGGTGAAGCTGGGCAACGTGGAGCTGGCGGCAGCAAAGCTCCCGCGACCTCGCCGATGCTTCAATCCCAGCGTGGGTAAGACATCACCCCAAGCTCTTAACGGCCCAAACCCCAGACCCCAAACCCTACAGGCCACAAGCCCTAATGCAACCCGGAAGTGGCTCAGTCTTCAGGAAGTCGAGAGTAGGGCTCAGCGTTGAGGGCAGACCTATCGCAGCAAACCCGAGCAGCCAGCCTCCTCGTGGCAGAAGCCACGGGGCAACACGATTGAAATCGCCGACATCACATGAATTCCGCTGCATACGAAACCTACCCAAGCAAAGCTTCGAGACCAGGCCATGGAGATTTCGGGTGTAATTCTTCGGAGACTTCTCCCGCCCCTACAAGCTCCACAGCGAACCACAATTGTACTAGTAGCTGTTGCAGTGTGATGCACGCGTTGAGAAATCGTTCCGGTTCACAGCTTCTACGTTTCATCATGTGGCGTTGCAGATGTCGTGTTTGGAGGCATCTCTCTCGTAGAGTTTGTGCGTTTCGGTGTCTTCGTTCGAGGCGGTGAGGGCCGGATTGGAATTGCAAAGTGGATGTTTAAGCTTTCTGCCGTGTGTAGAGGTTCCGTCTTGTGTTATGAGTGTCATGTATATCGCCTTAAAAGGGGCTGCCTGGCAGATGCTCTAGTGACTCTAGTGCGGCTTTGAGTTGGTGGGGCTAGTTTGTTCCCTTCTCCCCAGTCTGCCTTGTGTGCTTTGATTCACGTGCCGTTGCTCTGTGTTCCTTTGGAAAGGTGCAAGTGGCCAGATGAAAATGCGCCGAGCGCGGCGTGGAAGAGTCCGAGTCGTCGTGGTCAGTAGCAGCACCAATACGATAGGCCCCCAAGGCCCCCAAACCCCCAAAGCTCTTCAACTCGAAGCCGTAGCCCTCCACTTCCTAAAAAGCGGAGAAACCCCTTGAACGCTTTAGATCCTGATCCCAAAGGTCCTAAATCACGAGATGCTTCGATAACCAGTCCCTAGCTAAATTGCGGCTTCTTCAGGGCAACAATTTCCTTCAGATGGCAATTACCGCAATTACCTTGATTGTGTGCAGGATCTGGGCCGCTCCATGGCATTGATCGTCGCGCCGGTGCTTGGCGTGGCGATGCTGGGGGGCCCAAGTCAGAAGTGATGGGAACTTTTCATTTCAGATCCTTGTCTGGGGTCCGTTGCTTCGGGATTCAACTGCTTAGAGTCCGTATGAGGGTTTATTTCAGGTTGAACATGGTGCTCCGGTACAGAATCCGGGTCGGAGAAGAGTTCGCAAAAGGCCACCGATATTTGTACACAAAGTCTATGCAAGCTCTTTGGAAGGTTCAAGCCTCGCGGAAGTTAATCTGGGCTTCGGAACAGTATACCAGTATGCCCGCTGTCTTTCCGGCCTTAATGCTAGGATCCCTGTTTTGAGTAGGGCTCTCGGGGTTTTTGAGGGCATAGGACTTAGGAATCAGGGTCTTTGGATAAGGAATTGTAGAGATGTTGCCATTACTCCGTCCTACCATTGTGACACAGGGGCTTGCATGCTGACTGGATTAACGAGCTCCTCCCTGAAGCCGACTGTTCTTCTGTTACCTGCTACATTAATGAAACAAGATTTGGGTCGTAAGACTCAGGATAGAGTTTCTGGCCTGATTGCTGCTTGCATGCAGGTCGTGAGGGCAGTTTTGGTTTTATTCAAAGCCCAAGCTGCAAACTCCTAGAGCTCCAGAGCCTGAAAATCTTCAACCATGGAGGCTTTGAAAGACCAGCCCTACTTCCTAAGCCCCGGCGACAAAGGGTCCTATCATGATGTCGTTATGGTATTGTTCAGGCTTCTATCATCCTGGAGCCTACAACCAGACAAGTCTACCATCCAAGTCACCTAAGAACCTAAACCCTAAAGCCCCAAACCCTTCCAAAACCCGAATCCGATGAAGCCCTGATAACGCACTTTCAAAAACCACCGCACAGGCCACGTAAACACACTCGAAGAGCACTCAGTGGGCAGGTGTGTTCTTGGCTGCTCAGTGACCCTTGGCCTGGCAGCTGCGGCAGCCACTGGGCCTGGGGCCTCAGCGATTTATTCTTCAAATGATTATCAGAGTATGATGACGGAAAATGTGTGTTTTTGTGGCCATGCTCAGTCTTCATGAGTTCAACCCAAGTCTCACTGCAGTGCTGTTGCTTGTCTTTCTTGTTGTTGAAGAGTTTGGGTTTGTATAAGGTGGTGCGCCAGTAAAATCAGGCAGGGTGCGACATACAGGCTCGCAGGCTCAGAGAGGCTTTCGGGTCCTGGCTCTGTTCATGGGTTTCGGGGCTTTAGTTAAATGCCCTAAACCGTAAATGACCTTGAGGCCTAAGCTCCCCTAACAGAAGTCCAATTAAGCAGCCTGCTCGTGTGGTTTGTAGTATCATAACACCAGAACCCTCGTCAATCCGACAAACGCTAAAGAGCCCTGACACCTCGGAAGGCCAGTAAAGCCCATAGTCTTTCAGCGCATTGGGCTCTCCTGGAAGAATTGGAAAAAGCCACGGCTCCAGGCTTAGCACTGCTGTCCTCATCGCTTGTGCCCCCGTCGGGCCACAGGACATCGCCGTGGAGAGTCATGCTCCGTGTTCGAGCTTCTATCAAGGGCTTGGGGTGAGTGTTTAGCTTTCTGGGTATTGGGTTTAAGATATTGCAGTGTAGGGCTAAGGGGCTGTGAGATCGGGTGTCGAGTTTGCAGAGGGCTTGTACGTCTTTGCATGTCGTGCTTTGAAGCCTCTAAGCTTGAAGCTTTTGACTCTTTGAGCATTGACCTTGATCGCCTGGAAGGCTTCATACTCCCTAAGCCCGATGCTCGCCTTAGAAACACGAAATGGCGGAACTCCATTCCCCATTGCGGCCGGATCGCCAAAGAAAGAGCCCTCAGCTTGAATTCTGCAAGCGCCAGGGCGCTAACTTCTGCACCGTTTAACTGCTTCAAGCCGTAAACCTTCAGGTTTTGATCCCTTCCAGCCAGAAAGTCCATAAGCCCGGACTGAAGCCATGGGGATAAGCACATTTGAGGCTTTAGGGCATAGGCACTCTCCTGTTGCTTGTTTCTAGGGTTTAAGGCTTGAGGTTTTCGTGTGAAGGATTTTGCGGTACATGGGTTTGCCCAAGGCTCTGGGAACTCAGCTTAACCCCTCCACCCCAAAACCCAAATTTACGGTTCCGTGAGGACGGAGTCCTGCAGCTCCTCTGTTTGGTGATCTTCTCTGCCGCCTCCGCCAGGGCCTCACAACTCTCAGCAGTGTCGGCTGTTTGTTTGCATGCCAGGGTGTTATTCGAGACTTTCTCGGGTTTGTGTTGAGCAGGCACAAGATTCACGTGCGTTGGGCCCAGGGTCAGGCTTAATGCGTTTGGCTCGGTTGAGAACCATATTTTTTGCCTTGCCTTGGCTGCTCAATCCTGCCTTGACGCTGTTGCGGCTGTGCAAGGCTGCTTCTATCAGTACAGACTTGTATAGCTGATTCAGCCGAGTTTCTGGCGACTCGTTCATGCCGCTGGTGTTGAACTACCGCTTCACTTTCATTGATGCCGCAGACAGCGAAGAGGCAGCTCAGGGTGTCCGGCACCGACGGGTTCTGACGCCGCCGCCGCGACGTCCTGGTGGCCTGAGCCACTTGGGTGAAGATGCCCTTTCGGAAGAAGTCGAGGCCGCTCGCTGCCGTGACTATCTGAGTGGCTTGAAGGATGAACGCGGGCCCCTTGCTTGCAATGGTGGCAAAGGTGCATCGAATCGGATGCCGAGTGGAAGCAAGGAGCCCAGCGATGCTGCTTCAGCTGCTCCAAAGTGCCCATCGGAAGAGGTGAGCGTTGGCAGCTTGGGCCATCCCATCGCATGCCGTCGCCCCTGTGTACACATGGCACAGCGTCGTCAATGCCAGAATGGCAGCGCCTGTGGCTATTGTCACTTCCCACATCCACCGGAGGCCGGACAAGCGTAGGTTCACGTTTTGTCAACTGATTTCCCCCTTTTTTCCTGGATGCTTGCGTGATTGAAGCTCGCTAGGTTCAGAAGATTTCAGAAGCCAAAGGTTAGGTATTGCTTGGTGAGTCGCTCCACGGTTCCGCCAGGTCAAGTTGAACAAGGAGCAGCGTGCCATGGTCCATCAGTTGCCGTATGGCGAATTCTTGCGGATCGTAGCCGATGTGCTGAAGACGAGAGCAGGCAATGTCGCCAAGCCGACCGTTTGGGATGCCGTCTACCTGTTGGAGGAGGAAGTGCAGCTCGCAGGAGTGGTAGGAGCCCAGTCGGATGTGAAGGCCGTGAAGAAATTCAAGAAAGGTCTGCAGCACCTCAATATTTTGAGTTTGCTTGCGTTGGCCAAGCGCAGGTGCCGGGACAGTGTCTGTGAAGTGCTCACGCAGCTTGCTGTAGAGCTCCGCTTTCAGGCATGACTCAAAATCTATTTCCATGATCGGAGGAATTTTATGTTTCCAATGCAGTAGAAGGCAGAGAAGTTGGAGCATTGGCATCCCCTCGGCCCTATTAGTAGACCCACAGGTCTTCCACATTCCACCTTTACACCTTCTGCCGCTTACGTGTCGAGAAACGGGAAGGAGAACCATGTCCTGGAGCACACTGACTTGTTTTTACAGAATCGTCTGGGCAGTCCATTGGCAATCAGAGCATAAAAGTTTCCGTGGAGCATCCACAGCGGACTGGTCGAAGCTTCCCGAAATCTTGCCAATGACGTCATAGAATCATGGTTTTTGCAACGAGGCTACTTACGACTGTAGCATCGACGCCGTCAAGCGGCATCCAAATTCGGTGCCACACCTGCTCCTTCCTCCTTCACAAGTTTGAAGCGGGTGCGGAGTGTGGAGCGGAGTGTGGACGTGAGCACTTTCATGTATGTTATGTTCGTGTGTGGTATGTAGCTGTGCTGCGGCTCTTCAGGCGGTATCTTGTATGGCCGCAGACATCCCCAGACCCCGCCAACAGCTAATGCTGGTGGACGACTCCAGCTGCCAGTCTTTCTGCGAGGCGCACTGTGTGCTTCTCACTGCTGCTGGGTCTCCTGACGGGTTCTCTGGTTATACATAGAGCAAACGAGCAACACAGCATATGAGGAGATGCACCGGGAGAAATGAGCAATGACGAGATACGGGCAAGTGCAAATTAAATGTGTGTGTGTGTGTGTGCTGGTGAGCGGACCAGAGTGGAATTAGGCCTTCCTAACCTGGGGAGGTCATGAAGGAAGGCTTAGCAGGGTTCCTCTTGATGACCAAAGCCGGTGGAACGGACCCATGACAAACTGACCCCACAAGTGGCTCTTGCAAGGTGGCGCCGATCGTTCGGTTCCTCCTCTTCTACAGCAGCGCGCGGAACGGTAACACAGTCGCCGTTTAAGGTTTAGAGGCGTCGGGGAGCGGGGGGGGGGAGGGGGGTGGGGCTGGAGTGCAGGTTTTGGGGTTGCGGGTTTCTTCCATAAATCCTAAACCCTAAACCCCTAAACCCCTAAACCCTAAACCTTATGTTTCGAAAAAGGTCAGTGGGCCGTAGCCTCGGCTTCAGATGACAAGCCCTCAAACCCTCAAGCCTCGACCCCAAACCCTAAAACCTCAGCCTGAGACCAGTCATATATAGATATAGATATAGATATAGATATAGATATAGATATAGATATAGATATAGATATAGATAGATATACATATACACATTAATATATATATATATATGTATATAGATATGAAGATATGTGTACATATATATATATAGAGAGAGAGAGAGAGAGTGCATCGGCGTGAGGGCCCGCTTTTCTCGAGTAAACATGCTTTTTTATGCTTATTTTACAGTGATTTTACTGGCATCATCTTGTAACTGCATTTAGTTTATACCATTATATAATACATATACACACATGTATATAAATAAATGGTAACCCCCCCATGTGCCTACCTTCCTCTCTCATTTAACTCGACTTGGACCTCAACCAGCCTCATGCTGTCCAGGGTGTGGGGTTCTCGGAGCTTCATGAGCATCTAGCTTTATGGCATCAGG